GGTAGGAAATTTCGGGCTCGATGTTCGATGTTTTCGGATGTTTTCGTCGGTTCCCGGCGGTTTTCCAGCCTCGGGATGGTTGACAGCAGCTGCGCCTCGCCGAGAGCGTTCTGGGGGTGCCGAGATCGTCCCGAACGGCCGCTGGAGACCCGAGTTATGACACAACAACGAGATCGGGCGGCGCGCCCAGGGGGGAGGTGAGAACGAGAAGGCCTTCTCAGAAGGCCGCCGGGCTTCTCAGAAGCCCTCGCGCCTCTGAGAAGTTTTCCGTGTCTTCGGGGAAGGCTCAGAACATTTCTCAGAAGGCTTGGGGGCGTCTGATCCTTCTGAGGAGACCTTCTCATTCTCACTTCCACCCGGGCTCGCCGCCGAAAGACACTGAAAGAAGAAGCAGTTTGGGTTCGGAAGGGGCCCGAAATTTCTTAAATGCTTCCCATGGCTGTTCCTCTAGCCTTCCTCGTGCACGCTGGCGCCTGTGGGGCCAAGAAGGGGCCCCGTTCCCTGACTGTAGCACGAGTGCGATGGTGGGCGTCACCGGGGTAGGGGGGGGGAGAGGAGGGGGGACGGGGCCGCCGGTAACGTTACGTTTTGCGCCTGCGCAGTCTTGGGGATGTTTAACTCTATATACAACGACGCTTTTTTCCGGCCCTGCATTGCAATTTGCACAGGAAAGCGAATCCTGGTGTATACGGGATCTTGGTGTATACATGTCTTGCTGTTCTTCCTGGGAAGCAGAAAAATACTGCACCGCCGCACCACCCCGACGTCAAAAGTCTTGAGACTGAAACCCAGCCTGCCACTGGTCATTAATGTAAACAGTTACGGATAAAGTCGAACCGCCGCCATAAGGAACCCTCAATGAGGAACGAGGCCCCTGTTTCTATGAGTCTGACTCCGATTTCCCACAGAAGGCCTAAGGAACACCTAAGACAAACTGCAAAACAACCAAGGAACACTGGGCCCCTTCCAAACGAAATTGGGTCCTTCTTTCGGGGGAGCGTAAGACCCGGGTTTGCCAGGACTCGGGTTCGCCACCGTTTTTTGACGACCGCGCCTCGGATTTTGACGAGGAGGAGTTTCGTGGGATGTCTGCAGCGGGAGGCCTCGTCAAAACGCAGGCTCGGCCTCGTCATTTTTTTGACGACCTCGTCGGGGATTTCCGAGTCCCCTGTACCCAGGAGGGGGAGGAGGGGGAGGAGGAGGAGGAGGAGGAGGAGGAGGAGGAGGGGGAGGAGGAGGAGGAGGAGGAGGAGGAGGTGGAGGCGAGCAGGGTCTTACGTCCCCCTGATTCTTCAGCGGCACGGCTGGACCAAAGACAGCTCGGACGTCGGCACGAGTCGTGACGTCACCCTGGGGGGGAGGGGGGGGCGGTCGGGGCCAGTACTGGCCCCTAGATCGCGGACATGGAAAACGTTCTCTCGAGCCCTCCTCCTCCTCCTCCTCCCTCCTCTCCTCCTCCTCCTTTCCTCCTCTTCCTCCTACTCGTCCTCATTCTCTTCCTCCTCCTCCTCTCCTCCTCCTGCTCCCCCTCCCCCTCCTCCTCCCCCTCCTCCTCCTCCTCCTCCTCCTCCTTTCCTCCTCATCCTTTTCTCCTCCTCCTCCTCCTCCGCTTCCCTGCTCGTTCTGCTGTCCGCCACCCACAATATACATCGACACCCCCAGTGGAATGTTCCTGGGCCTCAGTGGGGGGCGGCGGTGTATACATCACCGCTGAGAGCCAGCGAGCTTATCAGAGGGGGCCGAACGGTTAGATGCCCTGCCCCTGGGTGCGTGGTAGAAGTGGGGTTTCGCGGCGGAGACTGTCGTTGCGTCGTTGCTTGTTGTTTGCTTGTGTGTTTGTTTGTTTGTTTGTTTGTTTGTTTGTTTGTCCCCGCCTGGTGCGCATTTTATTGTTTGTTTGTTTGTTTGTTTGTTTGTTTATGTGTTTGTGTGTTTGTGTGTTTGTTTGTTTGTTTGTCCCTGCCAGGTGCACATTATATGTTTCAATCGAAGTGCCCATCCAGGGGCTCGCACCTGGTTATTTATCGGAGGAAGTCTTGAGACCCAGCCTGTGTCGTTGGCCCCCGGGTTGCAACAACAACGGCTCCCGCCTGAGACTTCCTCACAATTTAGCCAGGCGCTCGCACCTGGTTATTTATCGGAAGAAATCTTGAGACCCAACCTGTGTCGTTGGCCCCTGGGTTGCAACAATAACGGCTCCCGCCTGAGACTTCCTCACAATTTAGCCAGGGCTCCCGCTCCCGCCCGAGACTTCCGCGCATATTATGCAGGAGTCGCGGTCTCGCTTGGGACTTCCTTACCATTTATTCCGGAATCGCTCTCTCTCGGCGCTCTGGAGTCGCGCTCTCGCTGGAGGTTCGCTTGCAATTTACTGTCGAATAGCGCCCTTGCGTTGGAATTTCCCGCAATTTACTCAAGCGCCTCGCTCCCGACACTCAGGCACCCAGGAGTCGCGCTCACCCTTAGGACTCCCTCATAGATTATTTAGGAATCGGGATCTCGCTGCCCTTCGTGGCCCCGTTGCACCCCTTCGTGGCCCCCTCGCTGCCCTTCGTGGCCCCGTTGCACCCCTTCGTGGCCCCCTCGCTGCCCTTCGTGGCCCCGCTGTCGCCCTTCGTGGCCCCCTCGCTGCCTTTCGTGGCCCCGTTGCAGCCCTTCGTGGCCCCCTCGCTTTGTTTCGTGGCCCCGTTGCAGCCCTTCGTGGCCCCCTCGCTGCCCTTCGTGGCCCCGTTGCACCCCTTCGTGGCCCCCTCGCTACCCTTCGTGGCCCCGTTGCAGCCCTTCGTGGCCCCCTCGCTGCCCTTCGGTGGCCCCCCCTCGCTACCCTTCGCGGCCCCGTTGCGGCCCTCAGTGGCCCCGTCCTTGCCCTCCGCGGCCCTATATGCGCATGCCCTTCGTGGCCTCCGCTCGTTCGCGCCCGTCGTGGCCCCATGTGCCGTTGTTCCGCGCTCGCTTGGGACTTCCTTACACTTGGTTCAGGAATCGCTCTCCCGGCACTCTGGAGTCGCGCTCTCGCTGGAGACTTTCTAGAATAGCGCCCTTGCGTTGGAATTTCCTGCAATTTGCTCAAGCGTCGCTCTCCCGACACCCAGGTACCCAGGAGTCGCGCCCGGTGTGGCCCCATGTGCATGCCTTTCGTGGACCCGCTGTCGCCGTTTGTTGCCCCCTCACTGTCCTACGGGGCCCAGTTGCTACCCTCAGTGGCCCCATCGTTGCCTTCTGTGGCCCCGCATTATTTGCTCTTCGTGGCCCCCGCTCGTTCGCGCTCTTCGTGGCCCCATACGCATTCCCTTCGTGTCCCCGCTGTCGCCCTTCGTGGTCTACTTCGTGTCCTTCGTGGCCCTGCTGTCGTTCTCTCTCGCTCTCGCTTTCGCTCGTCGTCGCCGTCGTCGTCGACGTCGTCGTCGTCGTGGTCGTGATCGGTCCCCTGTCCGTCCCTCTTGGGGTCGGGTCGACGGTCCGCGGCCGCCCCTCCGATCAGCGCTGCCGCTGGCCAGGCCGACGGTCCGCGGCCGCCCCGCCGCTTGCCGGGGCCCGGCCTGCAGGGAAGAAAGGTAGACCCCCCAAACGGGGTTCGATCGAAGACGAAGAGGGCGGGTACCGAGGGTCTAGGAAATACGCGTCGTTGGACACTCGAGCAGATAAGAGCGAACAGTCTTAAAACGATTGTTGTTGTTGTTGTTGTTGTTGTTGTTGATGTTGAACTCTCACTCCTGAACAATACTTGTTGTTGATCCCCCCCACCGGTGCATGCTGTTTTTCTCAATCAAGTGTGCCCTCGACGCTCGCACCGTGTTTTTTGACAGGGAAAGTCTTGATGTTCAAACTGTGCCCTTGGCCCCCGGGTTACAACAACAACGGCTCCCGCTTGAGACTTTCTTACAATTTAGCCAGGATCCCCGCTCCCGCCCGAGCCTTCCTCGCATTTTATTCAGGAATCGCGCTCTCGCTTGGAACTTCCTTACATTTTTTTCAGGAGTCGCTCTCCCGGCACTCTGGAGTCGCGCTCTCGTTGGAGACTTTCTAGAATCGCGCCCTTGCGTTGGAATTTCTTGCAATTTGCTCAAGCGTCGCTCTCCCGACACCCAGGTACCAGGGAGTCGTGCCCTTTGTGGCCCCATGTGCATGCCCTTCGTGGCCCCGCTGTCGCCGTTTGTGGCCCCCTGTCCGTCCCTCTTGGGGTCGGGTCGACGGTCCGCGGCCGCCCCGCCGATCAGCGCTGCCGCTGGCCAGGCCGACGGTCCGCGGCCGCCCCGCCGCTTGCCGGGGCCCGGCCTGCAGGGAAGAAAGGTATACCCCCCAATGGGGTTCGATCGAAGACAAAGAGGGCGGGTACCGAGGGTTTGGGAAATACGCGTCGTTGGACACTCGAGCAGATAAGGGCGAACAGTCTTAAAATGATTGTTCTTGTTGTTGTTGTTGTTGTTGTTGTTGTTGTTGTTGTTGTTGTTGTTCTTGTTGTTCTTGTTGTTCTTGTTCTTCTTGTTGCTCTTGTTGTTACCGTCGTAGTCCCACCCACGGCCCGGCCCGCGACCCACCCGTGACCCACCCGCGGCCCACCCGCGACCCACCCGCGACCCACCCGCGACCCGCCCGCGACCCGCCCGCGACCCACCCCGCGCTGGCCCCCTCAGTCTGATCCGCATCTGCGTGGTGCTATAGTACACCGCCACCCTCCCTGAAGGCACATGCAGACTTCGTCGGCGGGTGTCTGTGTACGGCAGGTTCATGCGGCGTTGGCGCGCCGTCGACGCCGGCGAAGGCATTCAAAACTGAATTCTGCGACGCGGGAGCACCGATGGACACTGCAAGCCCACTGGACCTGACTGAATTCAACCTGGAGCCATCGGGGCCACGAGCGACTCAAGGTTGAGCGATCGACGCGGCGTCAAAAGCCTGTGCGCGCGCCGACGCTGCACGAGCCTACCCTGGTGGCGTTCGTGGCGTATGCTTCTGCCCGGACTCCGAGCCAAAAGTACCCCCCCCGCGCGCCCGCCCAGGTGCTGCAGGCGCGCGGCCTGCCCTTCCTGTCCGGCCTCTCGCTCGGCAGGACCAGCCTCCGCGGGCTCGGCCCGGCGCGAGCGCGCGGCTGCCTCTGGCAGGGCTTTCGGGGGCGGGGGGGCGGGCGATGCAGGACTCTTGTCGACTCCCCCGGTTCGATGCGACCTCGACGGCTTCCCACATCGGATCCAGGGCGAGCGTGCGGCTCCCTTTGGAAGGGCTTTTGGTGGAGGCGATGCGGGTGGATAGCTTCGGGGCGAGCGCTACGTTTTCGGGGTTCGGCCATAGCAGCATGGTCTCGAGCGCTGGAGTGGGAGAGGCTGAGGATCTGAACAGGCGCGCGGCGCAAGTCTTGGAAAGTGCGCCAGTGGATCTCCCTGAATACACTAAAAGGGGGGGGGGGGGGGGATGCGTTCAGAACCCCCCACCCCTCCCTCCTTCAAGAGGGGGGGGGGTCCGGACCCCCCCCCTCCCCTCCCCCCCTTAAGGGGGGGGGTCCCGACCCCCCCCCCTCCCTCCCTTGAGAGGGCGAGGGGGGTCCGGACCCCCCCCCCCCTCCCCCCCTTGGCGCTGGAAAGGGGAGGGGGGTCGGACCCCCGCCCCCCTCGTGTAGGGAGTACGGAGTTGGGAGTATGGAGTGGTGAGTAGTGAGTAGTGCGTCAGTGCGTAGTGAGTAGTGAGTATTGGGTAGTGAGTAGTAGTGAGTAGTGAGTGTGAGTAGTGGGTAGTGAGTGGCGAGTAGGGAGTAGGGAGTAGGGAGTGGGGAGTAGTGAGTAGTGAATAGTGAGTAATTAGTGGGTACTGATAAGTGAGTAGTGAGTGGCGAGTAGTGAGTTGTGAGTAGTGAGTAGCGAGTAGCGAGTAGTGAGTACTGAGTAGGGAGTAGGGAGTAATGAGTACTGGGTAGTGAGTAGTGGGTAGTGGGTAATGGGTGGCGCGTAGTGAGTAGTGAGTAGTGAGTTGTGGGTGGTGCGTAGTGCGTAGTGAGTTGTGAGTAGTGAGTAGTGAGTAGTGAGTAGTGAGTAGTGAGTAGCGAGTAGTGAGTAGTGAGTAGTGAATCGTGCGTAGTGATTAGTGAGTATTGAGTAGTACGTAGTGCGTAGTGAATAGTGAGTAGTGAGTAGTGATGAATAGTGAATAGAAAGTAGTGGGCAGTGGCAGTGGGTAGTGAGTAGTGAGTAGCGAGTAGTGAGTAGTGAATAGTGAGTAGAGTCAGTACTGAGTAGTGGGCACTCATTAGTGAGTAAAGAGTAGGGAGTAGCGAGTAGTGAGTAGTGAGTGCTGAGTAGGGAGTAGGGAGTAGGGACTAGTGAGCAGTGAGTAGTAAGAAGTGGGTAGCGAATAGTGGGTAGTGAGTAGCGATGGGTGAGTAGTGGGTAGTGAGTAGTTACTAGTGACTAGTGACTAGTGAGTTGTGACTAGTGACTAGAGACTATGTAGTGACCAGTGAGTAGGGAATAGTAAATAGTGAGTAGTGAATAGTGAGTAGCGGGGAGTAAGGAGTGAGTATTGAGTAGCGAGTATGGGAGTACCGAGTAGCGAGTACTGAGTACTGTGTAGTCAGTAGTGTGTACGGAGTAGGGAGTAGCGAGTAGCGAGTAGTGGGTAGTGAGTAGAGATTTGTGGGCAATGAGTAGTTCGTAGTGAGTAGTGAGTAGTGGATATTGGGTAACGGGTAATGAGTTTTGATTATTGAGTAGTGACTAGGGAGTAGTGAGTAGTGCTTGGTGAGTAGTGAGTAGTGAGTAGTGGGTAGTGAGTAGTGAGTAGTGATTAGGGAGGAGGGAGTAGTGAATAGGGAGTAGTGAGAAGCGAGTAGTGGGTGGTGGGTGGTGAGTAGTGGATAGTGAGTAGTGAGTCGTGAGTAGCGAATAGCGAGTAGTGAGTAGGGGGTAGCGAGTAGGGGGCTAGGGTTACTGGTTAGGGGGTAGGGGGCCCCTCGTGACTCCCTTTGGGGCTGGGGTTAGTCGTTAGGGTTCGGATTCGGGGTTTGGGTTCGGGTGAAGACTAGGGGTAGGGGTGGCGGGGGTCGGGTTCCGGCGTCAGGGGGCGGCGTGGCGAAAGGGGGGGAGGGGGGGGGGTCGGACCCCCCTTTCCCCCCCCTTTTGAAAGGGGGGGAGGGGGGGGGGGGTCCCCGACAACGGGTCGGGGAAAGGGGGGGACGGGGGGGGGGTCCCCGACGACGGATCGGGGAACGGGGGAGGGTGGGGGTTGCCCGACGACGGATCGGGGAAGGGGGGGAGGGGGGGGGGTCCTAACCCCCCCCCACTTGGGGAGATCCAGCGGCGCACCCTCCAAGTCTTGGATTGGCACCCGGATGGCGCATCGAAGGTCGCGGCAGCGATGGCGCTGACCAGATGCGGCGGCGCGCGGGAGGAGCCCGATCTCATGATTGACGCCCGCTTTTCGGAACGATCAATGGGTACGGTCGTGAAACAGGATTCGCTGTCCGTGTCGCCGCAGGCGTTGTCCATTTGAAGCAGAAGGCCGCCTGCCCAACAGCGGCTGCTACTAGTTTCGGACAGCATTTTCTGTTGTTGAGCATTGTACCTTTTTTCCGCACCCATTTCGGGCGTCCAAAGCTGTCACTGGTCGCGATGTGCAGCCGGCGCTGGGCTGAAAAACATACCTCCTGGGATGAGGAAAGACGGTGCCCAGATCTCCGACGCTGTGATTTTTTCTCCGCCCGGGCGTGCTCCTTCGACCCTGGGCCCCTGGGGCCGGTGCAGGGCCGTCAAATAGAGATCCGGGACAGGAGTTGACCCAGGGGAAAATGTCGGGGCATTTGGGGCGGTGCATGGGACAACACAAAACACATCGGCGGATGCCGAAGGATATAGATGCACCCACTCCCCTGACTCGTTTTTGTCGCATGTCTGGGCCTCCTGTGAGGCCCTCGATGCCACGGCTGGGTGGTCCTTCACAAGTTCTCGTCGGAGTGCACCTTTGGAGCGGTCCGGGGAGAAGCGGTACAGTCGTGCCGCTGAAGAAGGACCCAATTTCGTTTGGAAGGGGCCCAGTGTTCCTTGATTATTTTGCAGTTGTCTTAGGTGTTCCTTAGGCCTTCTGTGGGAAATCGAAGTTTAACTCAGGAAAAGGGGCCTCGTTCCTTATTGAGGGTTCCTTCTGACGGCGTTTCGACTTTATCCGTAACTGTTTACATTAATCACCAGTGGCGGGCTGTTTTTCAGTCCCGGGACTTTTCGAGGGTCGGGGACGACGTCGGGGTGGTGTGGTGTATAATTATTCCCCCGTTCTCACAGGGAAGACACCGACAACATGTATACACACCAGGAGCTCTATACTCTATACGCCAGGATCCACTTTTCAGTGTACGTGTCGGTGCGGAGCCAGAAACAGCGTCGGTGCCTAGAGTTCGGCACCTTACCTGCGTAGGGTTCCTTATGACTCTTTTCGACTGTATGGGTACAGCGGGGGCCCATGTCAAGAAACACCATGTTTGCCTCCAGGGTGCGCTGGGTTTCTTGGGCTTCGATGGTTTTGCGATGGGAAGGCGCGACGTTCCCGCACCAAAAATCGATGGACGCCCTGGGGTCTCAGGGTTGGGTTTCTTGTGGAAGGTGTCTTGTGGACTGGCCTCCACTGTAACTGTTTGTTCCCCCAAGCCCTGGCGGCGGAGGGGTTCGCTCGTGCTCTCCGCGCTCGGGCTGCGGAGGGGTTCGCTCGTGCTCTCCGCGCTCGGGCTCCTCGAGCCTCGAGGTTGTTGCTCGTCCGGGGTGCCGCTGCGGGCCTGCAGGCCGTCGGCGGAGGGGCCCCTCCTCTTGCCCTAAGATCTCGTGGCCATGCCTCGACGGTGCGAGCCTTGGTGGTTCGAGGGGGAAGCTTTCGGGTTCGAGGTTCGAGGTTTTCGGGTTCGAGGAGGAGGATGAAGAGGAGGAGGAGGAGGAGGAGGAGGAGGAGGAGGAGGAGGAGGAGGAGGAGGAGGAATTCGAGTTTTCGGGCTCGACGTTCGAGGTTTTCTTTCATTTTTGCCATTTCTCGGCGGTTTCCCAGCCTCTGGATGCGTTCCAGCGGCTGCGCCTCGCCGCGAGCGTTCCGGGGGTGCTGGGTTCGTCCCGAACGGCCGCTGGGACCGGAGTTTTGACCCACAAACCAAATTCGGCGGCGGACCGAGGTATAAGATCGAGGTCGGGTCGTGGAGGGTACCCTAGTTTTCTTTGTGTTTGTTGGTTGTTTCTTGCGCATCATGGAGAGGTACCCTTGGATTTTCTATTTGTTTTGGCCGACGGAGGGTCTCATATGATGTTCTTCTGGCCTAGGTCCGTCTATAAACTTTAAACCTCTCCCACGTCCTCATCCCACGGTATCCTTTTTGCGCTGCGCGAATTCAGGCCGACAGGCACGGCACGAGGTCCGGCGAGGGGACGATGGGTCGAGAGTTCGAGGAGAAGCAGCGAAGACCGCGATCCTCCGTTCGTCTCCTCCTGCTCCTCCTCCTCCTCCTCCTCCTCCTCCTTCTCCTCCTTCTCCTCCTCGGCCACGAAGCGGATGGGGGTTAAGAAAGCTCGCGGAGTCGACGGCATTGGCCCCCTGGTCATCGAGCGGCTCCCCGACCAACGCAATATCGAGCACGTGCACATCATTCGCGAATCGGAAGACAACCTCATGTGGCCCCCCACAGATCCTCGGCACGATCGGCGCTATCGCAGGCAAACCAGCAGGAGGGGACCGTGTGCTGGGGTTACTACTTATGACAGTGCGAATATGGTCCCGCATGCGGTCAGGTGTAGTGGACGTATGGACACAGCAGTTTGGAGGATCACTGGGACACAGCAATCAGAGGGTCGTCAGCATTGAGGGCAGCGCTTGTACGCGCGACCCTGGACGAGACAGGACAAGCCATGGGAAACGCACGCGCAGAACTCTTCGCCGACATGGAGCAGTTTTGAATGTGATTCCCTAGATCTTGGTTGGTTGATCAATGCTGGCATTCAGTTGAGATTTTCACCGACGATCATAGCGTTGGAGGTGGAAGCTTTCTTGGGCCCGAGGCACCTCAAGCATACCGGTTTGATTGGCCCCAGAATCGACCCGACCTGCTCCATTGTAGCAGGATCGGCTCACGGCACCACATTTGCGACGATATATTTATTCCCTCTCCTTGACGCAGCCCAAAATCGTGTACAGACAGCTGGGCTATGGACGTACGTCGACGGCACAGTGGGCAGAGTCGAGGGCCCCGAAGAGGCAGTCGTACACCAGATGGCGGGGCACGCGGACGACCTTATGAAACAAGCCGCAAGCAGAAACCTCAAGATTCCACCGAAAACAGCACTGGTCGCCTCGAACCCTCAGCTACGGCGACGGATTCGGGAAAGGTTAGCACAGCGGGGGCTCCCTTGTAAGCACCAAGCGGGCATGATCGACCTGGGCACTGACGTCAGCGGCACGGGCAAGCGTTCTCAGGAACAAAAACTAGAGCCAGACATCGGAAAGCCAAACCGCGTACAGGCAAGATCTTTCGGGTACGACGCATGGCCACCAGAGTTGCGAAGATCACGAAGGGCCTCTTCTCGGTGGGCGCGGCACCTCAAGCTACTTTAGGACGCGGGGCCTGTGGGGGAGCACCCAGTCGGATACTTCACCGTCGGCGTATGGCTATGCGATCGGCCGCGGGGCCAGGCCCAGGGCGATGCTTATCTGCGGGAATGGCGGTGCTACGTCATCTCAAAGACCCAGGCATCTCTTTACGGCGGCAGCTGGTCAGCGAATCGCTACGCCAATTGCTGCTACACCCAGAGCCCCACAGACGATTGCGACAACTTTGGGCACCGACGCATCGAACTCTCCAGCGTATTGGGGCCAAGATGTGGCACAAGGTTCATGGGCCCGCCGCCGCTGTGCAGGCGACGCTTATCACGGCAGGCTGGACACCGGCGCAAGCAGCACTATGGAAGCGACCCACGCCGCAAGGACACGGAGAATGGCGGTTGCCGTTTATTGACCAACAAGGCAGATGCGAGGTGTACACCGTTGAGTACACCCAGCTCCTGGGAGACCTCGAGATCGACTTGGACACAGCTAGGTGGAAGCAAGCAGCCACGCATCGCCAGGGCGAAGATTTGTGCAATGGAGGCGACGCATGGCAAATCGGCAGAGAACAAAAGAGGTACGCGGACAAGGCAGAATGGCACGATGGGGCCCTCAACAACGTCGTCGTCGCAGGTGGGCAGTGGCTAAGAGTCAGACACATTCATGCTGGCTATGAACGCGAGTCCGACATTTGCGGGCGGTGCGCACAGGGGCCAGATACCCTTTTCCATCGCACCTGCACATGTCTCTGTAACAAAGGCAACGACGCACACGAGAAGGCAGACTACCTGGTGACGAAAGCGCTGGCTGGAGTGGATGCCCACCCTGCGTTATGGTTGCGAGGCATTCCGCCGAAGAAGTTCACGCACCCGATCGTCGCCGACGCCGACTTGCAGGACTACGTAAGGTTCGGTTCATTCGAGCATGCGAGAGTCTCCGGCAGGAAGGTGCACATCTTCGGAGACGGATCGGGGGGATTTCACGGAGTAGATCCCAGGCGCAGAAGGGTCGGAATCGGGGTAGCTGCCATGAAGTTGATCGATGGCGTGTGGAACATGGCAGCGGGCGCGATGGCAGATCTACCTGGGTGGCGACAGACAGCACCTAGGGCAGAGCTTACCGCTTTCGCGACCGCTATCGAAGAGACTATTGGTGATATCGTTTATGCCACGGGCCACTACCCCCTGCTCAACGCTTTGAACAAAGGCAAGGCTCGTGACCCAGGGTGCGGTAGAAATGCAGATATATGGGCACGCATCAAGCGAGCCATACTGGAGAACGAGCAACGGCACGTCGAGGTGGAATGGGCGCAATCCCATCAGGACGAGAACGAGGCGGAAGTGATCAACCCGATCTTCGCGGTCGGCCGCGGTTTCGCGGACGCCCTGGTGACGGTGGCAGCAGAACCGCCTTGGGAAAGGGCATGTCAACCGCTGCCGCGTGCGGACGAGTGGGGCTCGATCTGCGCCCATGTGCGACTCCGAGCACGACGAGCGCTGGCCGACTCTGCAGACGCTGATCCTTGGCGTGCCGAAAGATCGTCCACAGCCAAGCCCAAAGTAAAGAGTGATACAGCAAAAGTCATGGCCGAGAGGTCGAAGCGCGACATGGTTAAATAATACGTGGTTTTGTACGGCGCGCAGACAGTGCGCCACGGCGGGCGCCCTGCATGAGTTCGTGGACACGCAGTGCGAGACCAACTCTGTCACGGCCACTGAGAGTGTCGACTTAAAGGGTGATCGCGTTATGGGCAATGGCAAATTACACCCGACACGCGCCATCAGCGAGTCGACGAAACGCGGCCTATTGTTCTGTGCCTAATGCGCTGCGTACGGCACCACGACTGGCAAAGGATTGAGAGAGACCTGCGAGGAAGCCACCACAAAGAACGGCCAGGACGCATTGAACCGCATTCGCGATGGGAGATAGCCTGGCTACAGGGGCCCGCCGAAGGCGGCTCTGGAAGCGGAACGTGCAAGGCTGGTCAGGCAGATGCGCGACCAAGAGTTTCCCGCTGCACATGTGCCGCAGCAACCTTTTGGGACACCACCACCGCCAACTGCTGTGCCAATAGCTCCACGGACATCAAGCCGCACGAGCGCGCGGTGGGCCGATGCGAGTGGGGCAAGTTGAGGCGGCAGGCTTCGCTGCAGATGGAGTTGACACAGTCCCTGTCCTAGAGGAGATGCAGACGCAGGTGAAGGAACACGACGCCCCCCCAGCTGCAGCGCGACCTCGGGGATTTTTTCGGAGAAGCCGAGTCCAGAGTGCAGCGGGCTGGGCAGCCACAGGTATCCGCAGCAAGTTCTCCTTCGACGGCATTGGTCCAAGCTGTTCGAGAATGCATTGACATGCCGCCTGCCGCGTGCGAGCGTCGTCGAGTTTCGGGGAGGCCTGCAGCGCATGGAGGCGCCCAAGCTGGTGGTGTTAGAACGCAAGTCCCATCCACCAGGTGCGCCCGTGAGGTAAACAGCGCGTGGGGCTGGGCTCAGTCGCCGAACGTTTTGCTAGAAGCTGCCCGCAGGTGCACCCGCGTGGTAAACAGCGAGAGGGGCAGGAGTGCAGTCGACACAGTACGCGGTCAGGACGCACTGCAGATTCGAATGATGGGTTACGGCGACCCCGAGGTGCAGCACGACCATGGAAATAATATCGGAGATACCGAGTCCAGTGCGCAGCGGACTGGACTACCACAAGTATTCGCAGCAAGGTCTTCCTCGACGGCATTCGTACAGCCCGCTGGAGAGTATATTGAACTGGACTTAATTTACGACGGCGAGGAGCTGAACCCGTCGTCGGCCAGCGGCGAGATTGGGCCTCCGCCATCTGAGTCCCTCGCCGCCGCCGCCGCTCGCCCGCCCGTGGTGAACCCAGTGTGCCCGCGACTTTGGCACCTGGGAGTGGGCCCCCACCGAGCCCAAAGGGCGCCGCTCGGTCGCCCGTCGTGAACCCCAGTGTGCCCGCGACCCTGGCACCTGGGAGTGGGCCCCCACCGTGCCCTAAGGGCCGACGAGCGGCGGTGGAATTGGATCGATGAGGAGATTCCATGGGCTCGCCGTGTTGTGCAGGGGCTTCTGTGCCTGCATAAGGTGGCGGGTCTAGTGGCGTGCCTAACCTGACCTAATCCTCCTCCTCCTCCTCCTCCTCCTCCTCCTCCTCCTCCTCCTCCTCCTCCTCCTCCTCCTCCCCCTCCTGCTTCTCCTCCTCCTCCTCCGCCTCCTCCTCCTTTCCTCCGTCTCCTCCTCCCCCTCCTCCTCCTCCTCCTCCTCCTCCTCCTCCTCCTCCTCCTCCTCCTCCTCCTCCTCTTCCAACTGGGCGACGAAAGCGGGGCCGTCTGCATGGGCAACGGCGCGTGATAAGTTGCCCGCGCAAAGCCGCGCGTCGCAACCGCGATCGTTCTCCACGCGGGGTTTGCGGGGCCGGTGGCCCGCGTAGGCCATTGCGTAAGGTCGTTATGTCATTTCGCTTACCCATACCGCGAACCTTTTCTCGTTTCCCCGTTTTGGGGCCTCCTGGATGGCCCCCGTTGCCGCCGCTGGATTCGCGTCGAAATCCTGGTCATAGCGCGCCCCTGGAGAGGTCTGGGGAGTAGCGGTATCGGTACCAAATGGTTTCCCCAAGACCCGTGCTTCCAGGTCTCCCAGGTGGGGTCCGAGTAGGTGGGGTCGGAGGATCGCGCCGCATCGCGAGTGCATGGCTGATGCATTGGCGATGCGGCTCGATGTGGGTCTCGTTTCGTTTAGCTGGCGTCGCGGATGCACCGCCGACGTCGCCAATGCATCACCAATGCGTCGTCGATGTATTCGCGATGCGGCGTGATCCTCCCACCCCATCTCCTCGGACCCTATGTGGGAGGCCCCCCATACAGTGAGGTTGAAAAGTAAGGATGAGCATCTTGCCGAGGTCTCTTGCATCCTCGCCCCTTCAGCCCATCTTTTGCGACTTCCGCTGGCCAGTCCCGTTCGGAAAACGTCAACACGGCCTTCCAATCGGAGGCGTCGATGGGGGCGAATAGCCCAGGGGGCAATGCATGTATCCATGGGCGCTGATGATCCGTGTCGTCGACGAGGCTTCTGGGCGAATGCGTGTAATGCCCGCCCCTGGGCTATTCGCCCCTATCGTCGCCGCCGATCTAAGGCCCTTGCATACCCTCACCCCGCGTCGTGCTTGTGCGACCTGACTGCACGGCATCTCGCGTGAGACTCGCGGGCGTCTGGCCGCCGAGGCAGCCGCCGCGCGGCGGCCGCAGCGCCGCCGGCGACGGTCGGAGCCGTCGCCGTCGCTGTCGTCGCCGTCGCCGTCGCTGTCGCCGTCGTTAGTGCAGTCGTCATGGCCGTCGTCGTCACCGTCGTCATCGTCCTTATCGTCGTCGCCGTCGCAGTCGCCGTTGTCGTCGTCGCTGTCGCCGTCGCGGTCGCCGTCGTCGACGTCGTCGCCGTCGTCGTCGTCGTCGTCTCCGTCGCCGTCGCCCACGCCGCCGCGCTGCGAGGATCTGCCACTTCATCCAGATCTGCCTCCGGCAGCGGAGCCGCCCCTGCGCCCGCGCGCGGGGCCGGACGCGCGGTTGGCGGCGGCCCGTCGGCGGGATGCGCGCACAGGAGCCTCGCAGGGGCTTTCTGGGGCCACCTTGGTGCCGGTTGATTTACGTCCGTCGAAATGCGTGAGGAGGAGGAGGAAGAGGAGGAGGAGGAGGAGGAGGAGGAGGAGGAGGAGGAGGAGGAGGAGGAGGAGGAGGAGGATCAGGAACAGGAGCAGGAGCTGGAGCAGGAGCAGGAGGATGTGGAGGTGGAGGAGAGGTGGAGGGAGAGGAGGCGATAAAAAGGAGGAACAGGAGGATGAGGATGAGATGAGGATGAGGATGAGGAGGAGGAGGAAGGGAGGAGGAGGAGAGGAGGAGGAGGCGGAGAGGAGGAGGAGGAGGAGGGGGAGGAGGAGGAGGAGGAGGAGGAGGAGGAGGAGGAGAGAGGAGGAGGAGGAGGAGGGGGAGGAGACGATGGAAGAGTGTGAGGGAGAGCAGAAGGAGGAGGAGGTGGAGGAGGAGGAGGAGAGGGTGGAGGAGGATGAGGAGGGAGTGGAGGAGGAGGAGGAGGAGGAGGAGGGAGGGAGGAGGGGAGGAGGGGGAGGGGAGGAGAGGAGGAGGAGGAGGAGGAGGAGGAGGAGGAGGAGGAGGAGGAGGAGGAGGAGGGAGGAGGAGGTGAGACCATGGAATAGTGTAGGTAGAGCAGGAGGAGGAGGAGGAGAGAGGAGGAGGAGGAGGAGAGAGGAGGATGAGGGAGGGAAGGAGGGGGGAGGAGGGAGGGAGGAGGAGGAGGAGGATGAGGAGGAGGAGCAGGAGCAGTCGCAGGAGGAGGATGAGGATGAGGATGAGGATGAGGATGAGGATGAGGATGATGAGGATATGATGATGATGATGATGATGATGATGATGATGATGATGATGATGATGATGATGAGGATGATGAGGAGGAGGAGGAGGAGGAGGGGAGGAGGAAGGAGGAGGAGGAGAGGATGGGGGGTCCAGCAGTGGCGGCTAGCTCCAGACACTTCACGATGAGGGTGTCCGGGGCAGGCGCCTTGTGTGGGGTCTTCTGGAGCCGTCTTGGTCGCAGGATGAGGATGAGGACGAGGAGGAGGAGGAGGAGGAGGAGGAGGAGGAGGAGGAGGAGGATGGAGGAAGAGGAAGAGGGGACGAAGGAGGAGGAGGAGGAGGAGGAGGAGGAGGAGGAAGAGGAGCTCGAAGAAGAGCAATTGCAAGAGTACAACTGCTTGGAGCCGGATCACCCTCCCTGGCGCGCGGAGGCGCCGCCAGGGGCGGCGCCGAGGCGCCGCCAGGGGGGCCCTTTCGCCGATCCTAGAAGTCCGCGCGCTGCGTTCCCAAATCTTGCGTTTACGCTTTGCTTTCTGCTCGTGGGAGCGGGAGGAGGGGCTTCTGGCGCCCTCCCCCCCAGCAACGCCAGGTGGGAGGGGTTCGATGGTTTCGACCACTCGTGGTGGCACAGTCCCGAGTTTTGAGTTTCGCGGATGAGAAGGACGAGGTAGAGGAGGACGAGGAGGAGGACGAGGAAGAGGAGGAGGGGGAGGAGGAGGAAGAGGAGGAGGAGGAGGAGGAGGAGGAGGAAGACGAGGCCTGCGCGGCGGATCGTCTGCTTTACGAGAGCCTCTTGGATGCCTTCTGCGGCCATCTTGGGGCCCTCATGGGGCCCTCTTGGGGTTCTCTTGGGGCTTTCTCGCGGCTCTCTTGAAGCTCTTTTCGGGGTGGGGGGTCTTGGGGCGATTTGGAGACCTATGGCCCAAAAAAGATACGGGGGCATCCAGGAGCGTGGCGTTTCGCTGTCGAGGGCCTCTCGGCGATGCATCCCGGATTCCAAGTCAAGACCCCCCCCCTCGAGCCATCTCTCCCCTTTACCGCCCCTCTCACGCAGTCCGGATATCACACGGGCGAGCCTTGCTATTGCGTTGGGCGAAGCGCGAGGACGGGGAGAAGGACCCTGTTGAACCATTTGCGGAACACAGCGTGCAGGAGAGGCGGGGTGAAGGAGAGGAGAACGACGACGACTACGACGACGGAGAGGGAAGACATCCCTTTGGCTCTTCTAGAGACACCACCACGCTAAACCCTGTTATGTATGCCCAGACCGACCAGAATGACCCGAGACGACCGTACTCAAACGAGTCAGCGTGCCTGACTGCTTCTCGTCGCGGGCTCCACCGATCGACAAGCCGTGGCGGAACCGTCTATCGATGCGTCAGGGTCGGTGTGTGCCGATGTCTGCCACCTTTGATCATGTGGGGGAGGGGGGGGACGAAGCTGAGGATGGTGGAAAGATGTTGGGCCACTGCAGGACTTGTGACCTCGTGAATAAGGAGACTGTGCCTGCTTGTTGCAGTCGGTGATTGAGTGCTTTTAGGGCTTGGTTGCTTGGTCGCTGTTGTCCCTTCGCGCTATTGGCATCGGTTCTTCGCTCGGTCGCTGTCCCGGCGTCGTGTGTCATCTGTGGCCTGTGCTCGTTCGTCCTACCGGGCCGTCGTTCGGCCCCCGCTCGCCTCTGTGCCGGCACCGCTCGCCTCTGCGCCGAGTGCACGGGAAACAGCGCTCGACTCCCACCCACGTCCAGATACAGAATCAAAACAATGCGACATCGAAGAATCACGGCCGGGGAACCCTGGACCCCATCTGCCCACTGCACTTCCCGAGCTGGATCGATGCGTGACGGCCAAGGAGGCCCGAGCTTGGGCGAGAGCGCCAGCGTGCAGCAAGAAAGGCTGCGCCCAGATCTCAGGGAAGGTGTTCGTCAGCAGGGAACAACGGACACAGGCACTCAGAAGCGTCCAAAGTATGGGAAGAGATGGGAAGTGGAGGGGGAGGCGTAAAGTCAGTATGGGCCCCTTTCGTTTGGACGCGCTGGCACGTTTTGGGAGGCTTCTCGGCGACGCCTCCACAATAGGAGAGGCCTCGCGCGAACCTCTTCTGGAAGCACTTCGTTGAGCGGTGCTGCAGCCTCCCCTGAGCACAGCGCCCCCCAGAGCATCAGCCAGAGAAATTGGGTTGACACCCTCATGCCTTGCTGGACTCTGGAACCGTTTCGGCACCCTCTCCCCCAACCTCGTCAGGGCCACCGACAAGGGAGGAGGCGGCGGTGGCCGACGCGTTCCCGAGCTATGAAGCTCGAAGCGCCCTGGCTCAGAGAGCCGGGAAGTTGCGGGAAGACAAGCAGACAGACGGACGGACCTTGGCATCGCTCGGACGTGTGCATTTTTCCTTCGGCGAGGACCATCGAGGAGCATCCTTGATCATTTGTCGAAAAAACCACGCACGAAGCCGAACAAAGCACAGGGAATGGACGTCCGAGCGATGGCCAGGGGCGGACAGACGGACAGCCAGGCGGCGTGCATCGTTTGGTACGCCGAGCGGGTGGTCACTGCACAGGGGGAAGGAGTCCCTGGCAGAGCAACACGCACCACGACCACGACGGCGCCGCCGCCGCCGCCGACGACGACGGACGGAGACGAGGCGCGCAGACGATCCGCACCGAAGCACGGATTTGGGAAGGAGGAGGAGGAGGAGGAGGAGGAGGAGGCGGAGGAGGAGAGGAGGAGGAGGAGGAGGAGGAGAGAGGAGGAGGAGGAGGAGGGAGGGAGGGAGGGAGGGGGGACGAGGAGGACGAGGAGGACGAGAAGGAGGAGACGGATGAGGAGGAGGAGGAGGACAGGGAGGGAGGGAGGGAGGGAAGGAGGGAGGAGGAGGGAGGGGGGGGAGGAGGGGGAGGGGGATGAGGAGGTGCGGGAAGTGAGTAGATGTCTGCGCGCACAGGGGCGTAAGGGGGAGGGGGGAAGGCTCCTTGGAAGCAACCCTGCTTCGTAGACGGCGCGGGCCGTGTCCGTAGATGCTGGTCTGGCGCCTTCTGAGGAGCAGCCTCCTACTAAGAAGCCGTCCCCCCTCCCCCTACCCTGAAGTCGGGCACGCCCCTCTACGGGAGGAGTACTCAGAAACAGTCAAACATAGTCTGGGGACGATTTTTTTAGTATTTCCTGTTTTTGATATTTGTGATCGAACATTTTTCAGTTTTTGGTTCAAAATCTGCCTGTAAGAAGATGACGAAGAGGAGGACTAATAAAAAGAAGGGGAGGCGTGGGGAGGAGGGGAGCGCCTCGACCAGGATTCGGTTTGAAAATGGGGGGTATGGAACGGGCGGAGAATGCGAAATCTGCTGCGTGCAGTTGGTTTCCGACCCCGCCGCGGGGCGCTTTCCCTCAACACATTGGCGTTGGGAGGCGCTGGAGAAATCATCTACAGCGGGGGCCCATGCCAAGGGTGCCCTGGGATTCTTGGGTTTCGATGTTTTTGCCATGGGAAGCGTGACGTTCCCACACCAAACATCCATGGACGTCCTGGGGTCTCAGGGTTGGATGCTAGATCTCGGTGGAGCGCCAGCCACGCAAGCATCTCGCGCCGAGCGATTTGCGGGTAGTGCTGGACTCCCGCGGATGGTTTCCGCAGCCGTGGTGGCGATGTCGGTTTCTCAATTCTGTTATACTATTCTCTTCATGCTCAGTTGCTTTGCATACCCAGCGTGCCCGTCCGATCGTATGAACATGTTTCCTCATTCCGCCGAGGAAGATCCTGGGCTATTTGAATGGCAGCGTGGTGCCGTACGGTCCCCGCAGCTGATGTTGATGCTTCCCGGTAGTAATTTGCTTGGCTTGCTTATCACATGCATGCAGAAGAAGTGCAAACAGTCGAACCGCATCAGCGTGTTACATTCTTTGCGGGGGGAGACCACAGACTGTAGCAGCACAATTGGGTCCTTGGTCGATAAGTAAATATCCGATGCGTGATTGTACAACCGCGTGCTTTGCCAAGCATGTTTCGCACACATGTGAGGAAACGAAGCTTGGAGAGCGACAATCGCAGCCCCATCTGCTTTTAGGGCGTGCCTCGGGCGACTTCCAGACTGCAATCGTTGGGATCGTGTTGAGCCGCCAGTCGCGGGTCGATTGCAAGAATGTAGGCGTGATCATCGGAGACGAAGGCAGCAAGGACGGTCACTGCAGACAAGTTTCAAATGTGTTCGGCCGTTGGCAGGGACGTGTAAGACGACCATGATGTCCGCTTCGTCTTGGCCATGCTTCTGCAAGGAGGACGTGATGTTGTGCTTGGAGGTTTTGTCCCCCCTGGTCAGACACGCTTAAAGTTACTTTGCATATTCGGTGGGACCTTTCCTGCCCTCTAATTGGCAGTCTTCTCTTGAACTCCGACGTGGCTTCGGCGCGTGTTCGACGTTGGTTCGATCCCGATTCGACACGGATTCGACACGGATTCGATTCGCTCGGCACGGATTCGACAGATTCGACACGAATCGCGGCGCGACGGAACAGACAAGGCCCCCCGAAGATGCAACACAGTGAAAGACCGAGCGTCTTGCAGCTTGGTGCCGTGGTTTCCTCCCCGCGTGGCACCATCCAGCCAGCGATCGGCGCAGAGACTTGCGTTCGCCTCTTGGCTGCCACATCCAATCGTGCATCCAGGGCCCATGTTGATCAGATCGGACGGGCGGACGGCGATTCCAGCCGACCCGATCCGACCCGATGTCGGTTTGCGGGCGATGCAGTGCGGCCCGAGGCTCGCACGGCGTTGCTGCGATTCAGACTCCGTGGGTTCAGCCCGATTCGGTGAATGTTCCGATCCGATCCGATCTCGCGACTCGATGCTGGCTGGCCCTGTCCACCTCCTGGCGGTGCTCGCCGCGTCCTGACGGCTTCGGTCCCGTGGCCTCTGCCAGCGCCCACCCGACGTGCTGGGTCGGTGGGCTGTTGCCCTTGGTTAGTTGACACGGGTTGGGTGTAGTGTTGATCTGGTTGGGGGCCAAGAGCACGTTCATTATGCCATGGTATGTTTGTCCACCACTTGGTGGCAAATGGCGGCCCAGTGCACTGTGTAGTTATGTTGTTGACACGTGTGGCCAGGAGAACCCGCCAGACAATCATACACTCTGCGTTATGCTGTGACTGTTCTGCGAAGCCCCATGGAATAGGACCCAGATCTTTTGATGCATAGACGCGCGATTCCCCATTATGTTGTTGACTTTTGAGAGGTCAGCGAGTTTTTGAAAACGCTGAGGCGCCGTGAGTGTGGAGGGGGATTCTCGCTTGCGCCCGTGAGCTAGACATGTTCCCAGATTTGTTCAGAAAGCCGCACGGCAGAGTCCCGCAACTGGATCTACGCCTTGTTCCGTAATGACCCGCGAAATTTATCGCAAGTGTGGCTGCAGCCCATCAGTCCCGTGTCGGAGGCGTACCGTCCAGGTGCAGCTCACTTGGATTTTGCCTTGGATAGGGGACCGCATGCGAACCCTAAGGGGGAGGGTGGGGTTCACTCCCCCTCACCCTCAGAAATCGTGGGGGGTAGGGGTAGGGTTCGCATGCGGTCCCCTATCGGAAGGTCGAGGTGAGTTTCCAGTCCTGACCTGGGAAACCAGGACTGGCCCACGGCGGGAGAGAGGGGGGCAGCTCGGTAGAGCAGTGTCCAGGCCGACAGTCATTGTCTTCTTATTTGTTGTTTTGACGATCGGCGCGGGCCCTCGCACCCCCTCTCCATTCCGCCCTCCTCCTCCTCCTCCTCCTCCTCCTCCTCCTCCTCCTCCTCCACAACCCCCATGGCGTAGATCTTGGCTGTCTTGGCGCCTGTTTCAAGCATGTGGGGTCTCCCCCATAGTACGCACTTCTGCAAGCAGTCGCGTGAAGTACAGTCAACCCGCATAGCAAGGATGGGCAACCTTCCCAGGGGTACCCCTGCATCCTCGCCTCCTCGGTCCATCCTTGGCCACTTTCGCTGGCCGCGCCCCGCTCGAAATGGGCATCCAAGGCCCTTGCATCCTTATCGCGCGTCCTTACTGTACGGGTTGACTGTGAAGGTCTGGAGCCAGACCGCCCCCATCCCCCCCCCCCTTTCGCCCAATGCCGAAACGCCGAGCTTGGGCCGTGGGCCTGCCAAGCCGAAGGCTTGCAGGGAGCGCGCGATTCAGCCCTGCCGCATGCCCCCCCCCCCCTCGGTGGCGTAGGTCGCTCCAATTCCATGGCCAAGGACCACTGCGCGAAGATCGGCGCGCCCGCCCAGCCGGTGCTGAAACACTTGGGAGGGGGGGGGGTGCGTTTGGCGGAGCATGAGGGGAAGGAGCAGGAGGAAAAGGCACCCATACGGCCTCGTCGCCACAGCTGGATTCGCCTCGAAGTTCTGGTCAGAACGCACACCAGGAGAGCTCCGGGGAGTAGCAGCATCGCTACCTTCTGGTTTTCCCGGAGGAGGAGGACGAAGAAGAGGAGGAAGACGAGGAGGACGAGGAGGTGACTGATCAGGGATCTCCTGAGGGCCCCTCAGTGGTTCTCGGAGGCCCTCTTGGGGTCATGTGTGGCGGACACGTCGACGTTTTTTTTTCGCCGGCTGGCTTGGGTCGCAGATCTAGTGGCCTGCGGCCCATCCCGCCAACGTGCTTGGGTCGTGGCCAAGAGGCCTCCTCTTGGCTGCTTCCGGAGGGCCTCCTGCTGGCCTCACGGAGGCCCCTTGGGAGCAGCATCTCCTGCTTCTCCTCCTCCTCCTATTTCTCTTCCCCCTCCTACTCTTCTTCCTCCTCCTCCTCCTCCTCCTCCTCCTCCTTCTCCTCCCAGGAGCCTCTCTGAAGCCTGATGGCTGTCTCGGGGACCACCTGCTGGTGGAGGGCGTCCAAATATCCACTCGAGATCCCCTTAAGGAGCACCTTGGGCCTTTCTAGGGGGGTTCGGGGGCCGTCTCGGAGTGAGATCGGGGTCCTCTTGGACTGTCCGGAGCACGACCGAAGCAGGCGCGATCGCAATTTCGTACAAAGCAAACAAACACTTGGCAGCTTAGCGCTTGACTCTTGGCAGGCTTATTCTGGAGGGGGGCAGCAGTTTGGATTCAGAATCGTCCTCCAGTTCCGTATTTGCTTGTGCCGCCAGCCCGCAAACCCATGATCAGCATGGGTTGGTGTTTTAATTGTGTTGGTTTTCGCCACTACTATTGGGCATGCCTAACGAACGCATTCTTGCACCAAGCCTGGTAACCTTGTTCTCAGACATGTGTGTATGGCTGAGCAGCGGTGTCCTAGAGTGCTGCTGCTTTCTGGTTGACGTGCAACAGTCTGCGTTTGCCCACGTGTAGACACCTACACATCACACAAGCGTGCATGCACATACGTATGTATACGCTTCGGTTTCATATGCAACTAGACACGTATATCTTCACACGTCATACCAGTCCATATGGAGTCAGAGCTAAGGCTCGTGGGCCGTCCTGGGCCCACGAGCCCTAGCTCTTGGAGATCTCGCAGTGCCCAGCTTAGGCTGGCGTGCCCTCACTTCTTGGCGACATGAGGATTCGATAAGGCCATGCTGTCGCAGACGGAGGATGGGCATGCGCGAGGGGGGGTGAGGTCCGTCGGATGCAACTCCTGGGGGTCAAAGTCTGACTTTGCCCTGGCCCGAAATCCGGCCTAATCCCGCTTAAGCCGGCCCCATCCCGCTCAATCCGCGGCCTGATTTCATCTGGTGGAGCAGCCTCCATTGGGGCTTAATCCTCCTCGGCTCTTCCGACGAAGACCTCCCAGCAGTTGCCTGTTAAGAGCATGCGTGTCTTAAGGTCTTGGCGATGACGGCTGTGATGTGCAATCTCCCTCCCCCCGTGCAATCTCCCTCCCCCCGGCCCCCCCCCGGGTCACGTCACGCTATTTTGCCCACATTTGCAAAGATGCCCCACGGCTTCGTGGATGATTTCCTGGGACCTCCGGCAGCCCTCTCCGCCGTGATGTGATCGGGGGGGACGAGCCCCCCCCCCGATCACGCCTGTCATCGCGAATCTTTTCTTTTTCTCCTTTTGCAGAGGCCCTCAGTGTGGGGGGACGGAGAGGGGAGGGATGGGGGGGGGATCGGTGGAGGGGCACCGAGGGAAGCGGGTCCTACAGACCCTGGGGCGCTCCCCAGGGCCAGATCTCTAATTCCCGGGTCGCTTCTTGACCGCAGGGCTTCAGCCAAACGGTGTGCTCCGGCGATCTCGTGGACTGTTATCGTTTCAGCGTTGTCTCGCAGCAAAGGCAGAACGCAGACAGATCGAAGGATAACGAACACAACACGAAGACGAACAAAACACACTCTGTGTAGCGCCGTCATTCCAGGAGTCAGAGGAGGCAGAGGGACCCATACCGCTACCTTTGCCTCGTTGTCGACTTCTTGGCCCTCCTGGGAGGCCCTCGTCGCCGCCGCTGGATTCGCCTCGAAATCCTGGTCAAAACACACCCAGGGAGAGGCCTGGGGAGTAGCGGTATCGGTTCCTCCTGGTTTCCCCAACGAGTACGGTCGGACCGAGGTATAAGACCGAGGTGGGTTCGGGGAGGTACCCAAATGGTCTTCGTGTTTGTTTGTCGGATGTTCCTGTGCATTTTGGGTGAGGGTACCTTCGAAGGTTCTTCAGTTGTGCCGGACGTCTCATGTTCTTGCATGATGTTGTTATGTTCTAGGTCTTTCCGTAGTGGAGGGATATTGCAGGCGTCCCAGCTGGCAGAGAGCTCTTGGTGCCCTCTTGTAAGGATGCAACTCCTGGGAGGTTGATTCCAGCATCGGCGCTGACATTTCCGTGGCGCCGGAGACCGGCCTGGTCGAGCACAATCCCGCTTAATCCGGTTCAATCTTGCCTACTCCCAGGCTTAATGCCAGGCTTGATCCAGCCAGATTCGGCTCAACGGCTCCTAAATCGGGCTTAGCAGCCCTGACTCGCACTCACGCAGACGTCCCAAGAGTTGCTTCCTAATCGTCTACGAGCTTGTAACTGCCGAGGCCCTTGAAGAAAGAGCGCGCAACATAGAGCCAGTCTTCCTAGAAGACTCGCCACCTGGGGCAGAGCCCCCTTCCACCTTCGCCACCTTCTTCTCGCCCTCGCCCTCCGCACCCTCCTCTACCTCCTTCTTCTCCTCCTCCTCCTCCTCCTCCTCCTCCTCCTCCTCCTCCTCCTCCTCCTCGCGTGTCGCCCTGCTCCCCCTCCCTGTACCTCTTCCTCCGAGGGACGAAACATGACACAAACATGAATGTTCGGAGGTCCTCGCGGATTTCTTGGATCGGCGCTGATGCCCCCTGGCGGCGCCTCTGGCGCCGCCCTAGGCGCGCTCCGCGCGCCAGGGAGGGGGAGTCCAGCGCCGATCCGAGAAATCCACGCGGGCCTCCGAAAGGTTATGATTGTGCAACGTGTGTTGCTCCTCGGCTCCGCCGCGCTTGTCGCCCTCCTTCTCTTGGGCAGGCCGCCGGCGCTACTGCGTGGAGCGTCAGTGCACGGCCCGGGCCCATGCCCGCCCGCCAGCGTGCCAGAGAGCGCGAGAGGCGGCCAGGATGCACGACAGCAGAGAAAGCACGAACCAGCCACCTTCGGGGACCACAGAGGGTATGGTTACGCCGGGGTGTGGTTTGCGATCTGCGTCGTTGGGGCCCGGGGGGCACCACGGTGCCCTCGTCGGGTCTCGTCGGGGCGCGGCGGAGGACTCTGTCGAGGTTCTCGCCCGCGCCATAGGGTGCGGGTTGCAAACCACACCCTCTGCAAACCGCACCCTCTGGAGTCGCCGAGACCTGCCTCCCCGAACTCCACATCGAGCTCCTCGTATCGGGAAGCAAACAATAAAATATACATAACTTTCGGAGCTCCGCGCGTATTTCTCGGGTCGGCGCTGGACCCCCTCCCTGGCGCGCTGAGCTGAGCGCGCCAGGCGCCGCCAGGGGGCCCCAGTCATCCTCCTCAGAATGGACGGCCAAAGGTGTACTGCAATGCGGTCCGACATTCGAGGGGAGTCCATCCGTGGCGCGACGAGGGCCATCCAGGAGGCCTTACGAGGGCCCTCCGTGTCCTGTTCCCACGCAGGCGGTCACAGGATTTGTCGCCCCCTTTTCCCGCTCCTCCCCTGAGATCCGACGCAGCTGGAAAAAATGGCAGAATCATATATCACGCCCAGAGCCCTAGACCCTATCTTTCTGCATCAATTTCCGAGCCGGATCGATCTGTGAGGGTCTTTGTGCCCGAACGAAAACTCGAAGACGCCCAGCTCGACAAAATCGAGGCGCCGCGATCTCAGTCGAGAAGGGCATCGACTACAGAACTGATCTGCTCCAAAATTTGCTTTCTCGTCGAATCTACGGAGGAATACTTCGAAGAATTGCCAGTCGACTTGCGAAAACTCGATATGCTTCGTAGATCCGGTGGGGGAGGTATATTGTGAGGTAAATCAATTCTGTAGTCGATCCCCTAGTCGACTCAGGCTCCCGCTCGGGCTCGTCCCGATCCCCCGCCGCCTGGCGGGCCTTCCGCGGGCCGTTGCCCCTGCCGCGCCGCGCCCCGCTTCGGAGGCCAGCCCTGCGCCAGGAGCAGCGCTTCGGTCGGCCCCCGCGCCCGCGTCCGCGCGTTCCGCCGCGCGTTCCGCGGGCAGCGAATCCGCCACAACAATGTGTACAGTCAACCCGCATAGTAAGTAAGGATGGACAACCTTCCCAAGGGTACCCTTGCATCCTTGCCCCTTCGGCCCATCCTCAGCGACTTTCGCTGGCCAACCTCGTTCGAAAAACGTTCACATGGACCTCCAAGGCCCTTGCATCCTTACCGCGCATCATTCTGATGTGGGTTGACTGTGCACTGGGCCTCCCAGATGGGGCCAGAGTACGGTCGAACCGAGGTATACGACCCCGACCCCCTCGCGTGGCGAAGAGATCACGTCGGGAGGTGTTTTTCACTATTTGTTCTGCTTCCGGGGGCCCTCACGGGCCCCGGGAGCGTCAAAAAACGATTCAAGATGACAAACTGGTCCCAGGGAAGGGGTCCAGATCTTTGGGGGTCGACGTCGTGAACAAAATCACTGCATCGGGGGTCTGGGGATCGAGGTCGGCTCGGGGAGGGTACCGTAATGGTCGTCGTGTATGTTGGATAGTTTTGTGCATTTTGGGGGAGTGCACCCTCCAATGTCCTTCAGTTTGGCCGGCGGACGGTCTCATGTTCTTGTCGATGATCCTCCGAACGCGCGTGAGCGCAATGTGTGTTGTCCTCCCTCAGCTCCGCCGATAACTCGCAGTTCTTGACAGTCACCAGTGCGCAGAAGCAAGTGTTGCGGGGCCTCGTCGGGGCCCCGCAGGAGTCGTCTTTTTGATGCGGCTCGCCTCTTGCCCTTACTCAAAAATTGACCCTCAGTTTCTCCTCCTTATCCTCTTATTTCCTCCGCCTCCTTAATCCCCTCCCTCCTCTTCCTCGTTCCTGCCCCTCACCCCTCTCCGCCGACAGATGGTGTACACTACCGAGTCAAATTCCCGTTGCTGACGTAACCTTTTCCGTCAGTAAGGGTGGTTGTTGACGTAGAAATAGCATTGTGCTTGCTGTCGTTCTGAGAAGCCGACGTAATTTTCCGTTACCGACGTAACGTTTCCGTTCGTCACGGAATTCCCCCCGTTAGTAACGTAAGCGTTCCGTCGGTTCCGTCAGTTTCCCTCAATTATTTGCGCGGTTTGTGGCAGAGCTTGGCTCCCGCGACGCACGAGGGACACGTGTTTCTCCAGCCCATATGATCTGAGTCAGCCGCGTTTTCCTCATTTACCTTTGCGCGCGGGTTTGCGATCCACCAGCACGTGCCGAGACGCTCTCTGACGCGCGCAGATGTGCGTTTACACAACGTGCAACTTGCCGAAGGGCTTCGGTGGACAAACACACGTTAGCGGTAACACACGTTCTGAGGATCATCGATGTTGAAGGATATTATTGAGTCCTAGGACCGACCTTAGATGGGGTCGGAGGTTGGAGGATCGCGCCGCATCGCCGATGCATCGGTGGTGCATCGCCGATGCGGCTCGATGTGGAGGCCAGTTTTCTCCGCGCGTGGTCGCTGATACACCAACGTCGCCGATGCCTCGTCGATGCATCGCCGATGCATCGTCGATGCGGCGTGACCCTCCGACCCCATCTACTCTGACCCTTCTGGAAGGCTTCGATCTACACGTACACCCCAGTGGATTGTTGTTCTTGGGCCTCAGGGGAGGGTGGCGGTGCATAAATCACCAGTTAGAGCCACCGGTACATGCACAATTTGTGTACATATACTTGCATATACACGCTGCGTAAACGAAGGCATAATCGCTTGGTACAGCCGAGGCGCCGAGATAAAAAACATTTTGGGTTCGGAAGGGTTTTGATGGTCCTTGGGTCCTTCCATGGCCGTTTCTCTAGCGCTTGTTTGTCAGAGGGGGGAAGGTTTGGATACCGCTACTCTTGCATTGTTTTCGCTCTTGAGGCCTCATGGTAGGCCCTTTTCGCCACGGCTGGATACGCCCCGGGATTAAGGTCAGAACGCACCTGGGAGAGGTCTTGCGAGTAGCGGCATCAGCGTTTGTTGGTTTCCCCAGTTTGTGTTAGTTGTTTTCTTTGTTTACGAGGGCGCTCAATTTTAGACTCAGGCGAATGTATTTGCATGTTCGAGCCAGCTGGGGGGCTGAGGTGGCCCAGCACTGGTTCGGGCCAGCAGAACAGGGGAGATGGGAGAAAGGGATCCTCTCGTCGCCGCGGCTGGACGCAGCAAGAATTGTCAGGCTCGTCCCCAGGAGGGGCTGTTTCCGGGGACAGATTTTGAGCGGATGTGTATTCGTAATCGTCCCCCTTGAGCGGATGTGGAGTCGTCTCCCCCTGTTGATCGAGTTTCTCAGGCCCCACCCAGCGCAGACCCCCTGGCCGCTTCAAGGAACAGAGTTGATTGCCGAGGAAACGCAGACGTGGATCTAGGCGCGTGGATTAGCGACGGGCCCCGCTTCCATTCCAAATCGGCAGGTTCCGTCGCCAGATCGTCGCCCTCCTCTCCGCGCGCCATGGGCAGCGACCTCAGAATAAAACCGAGCCTGATGTGTGCAACTGCGCCAACCTCTCAAGAGTGTAAGGGCCGAGCGACCAGCTCCCAGCGGCACTGGGACTGGGACAGCTGGTCCTGGTCCCAGGCCTGGGATGACGGCGACTGGCAGACGGGGGGCAAGCGAGGCGGCGACCACAGCGGCGACGGGAGGGGCGACAAGCGCTCCCGCACGTGGCGGTGACCCAGAAGTTCCCGGCAACCAGTGGCCAACAGACACTCCCTGGCTGCACTCTCTGTTCTCCCCTCCTCCCGCGGCATCCCCCCCACGGCGGCCTCCCGCCGCCGTCAGGGCCCCCCACCCCTCCCAACACTGCGGGCGCGCCCGCCCGTGTTTCACCCCGGACGCAGCCCGCCGCGCACGCGCGAGTTGGTCGCTGTGGTTCTTGCAGGAAGTGCCGCCTTCACCCGCTCCCGGTACCCTGGTATGCCGATCAGCTGTGGGCCGCAGTGGGCCACACGGTACGGGAGAGTGACGCCTCCCTGCCCAGAGGGCGAGCCCAACAACTGACAGAAGTCTCGCGGGGGTCTCCCACTGCGGCGACGGGGGAGATGATGCGGATGCGCGCTCCCGCACTTGGTGAGGGTCCCTCTGTAATCGGCAACCAGTGGCCGTTAGCCACTCCCTGGTCTCGCTTTCTGCCCAGCTCCCGCCGTCCCCCGTCCTTGGGATTCTGGCTGCGGCCAGCTGGCATTACTGACACGTGGGCGGCCGCTGGGGCCGGGGTCCCCGTCCCGCACGGCCCCCCGGACCTCCAGCATTGCGGGTCCGCCTGCCCGTGTTTCCCATTAGACGCAGCCTGCAGCGCATGGCGTTGGCCGCTGTGTTTTTTTGCAGACAGCGCCTTCAGCTGCTATCTGGTTCCCTGGTGTGCCGACCCACGGCGGGACACAGCGGGCCACACTGTTCGGGGGCGTCGCGCCTCCCTTGCCCGGAGGACTGGCTCAGCAGCTGAGGAGGACTTGCGTGGGTCTTTCACTGCGGCGACGGACGAGGCGACATACGCTCCTTCACGGGGTGACGTTCTCTTTGTAATCGGCAAATCTGTGGCGGTTAGCCACTCCCTGGTAGCGCTCTCTGCCCGGCTCCCGCTGTCCCCCGCCCTTAGGATTCTGGCAGCGGCCAGCTGATAATACCGGCTCGTGGACTACCGCTGGGGCCGTGGTTCACCTGCCCTGTCTGGCCCTCGGCCCTCTGTAGCTGTTTTCACCACACCGGCGCGCTCCCGCCCCCGCGCCCCCTGGTTCCCACCGTGCTGGCGCGGTCCCCCCCATGGTTGGGATACCAGCTCCGCTCCTCCCTTCCCCCCTGCTCCTGTGGCATAGTATAGTGTCCCAGGGCTTGGGGCTCCCGAGTGCACGTGGTGCAGCCTGTGCACTCCCGGCTGCCGGCGACCGTGTCGATTCGCCTACGGTCCATGGCGGCGTCGCCCACGGCCACCGCTTGCCACCTCGTTCCGTCGTTGAGGCGTGGATCTCCATGGTCGGGCAGCCCTCAGTCGTCGGTGATAGCATGAGAGTGCGCGTGGCACCCCCTGGTCCGGTAGCTCAGGCGCCGACGGTGTCGAGTTCCTCCATCGTTTCCCTGGCTGCCTCGCCCGTGTCCAGTGTTTTTCGTGGCCTGACGCTCGCAGGATCAGTGCTCATCTCTGGGGTTGGTGTGCGCCTTTGCTGGCGCCACCCAGTGCACCAGTTTGGATCCTTGTCGGGCACCCCTGGCCGTCTCACCCGTGTACCGGCGGGCTCCTCCCTGGTCACACCTTGGCAGAGCGCCGCGCCATTTTGGCTGCGTCCCAACCGCGGTTGGTCAATCCGTGCACTTCAATTCACACCTGGTGGCCCTGCTCTCAGGTTGTCGCACGCTTGCAGCCCCCTGGCAGCCCCGGCAGCTCGCAGCCCCCCCCCTCCCCGGCTCCTCTTGCTGCTCCGGCCCTGAGGCTTCGTCGGTAGGCCCTGCCCTGCTCCGCGCTGGGTAATTCGGCCCCCGCTCGGCCCGCTCGGACCGTACTCGCTGTTGGCGCGCTCGCCTTCGGCTGCTAAAAAAAAGTATCCCCACCAGCTTGCGCTAATTTAGGCTGTTGCTTGTCTGCCCCGCCCCTTGACGCCGCCCGACCTTTTCGCCGCGGTTGCGATCAAACAAAAACATATCCCCACCAGCCCATCGGGAAACAGATCACCAGGCGAGTTGCCTTGATCAGGGAAGTGTAGAAGCATGTGCTGTAGCAACTGCATTGAAAGTGGTTTCTCGGAGGCCTGTTAGAGCCATCTTGGGTCTTTCTCGGGGTCCTCGCAGAGCCACTTGGGGCACTCTTGGGGCCCTCTTGGCGTTTTTTTTGGGTGGTCTTGGGGCCCTTCTGGGGCTCCTTAGGGGGTTCTGGGAGGCCTTTTGGGGCAATGTTGGGCCCTACTGTTCAAAGAGAGGGGAGAACCTAAATTCAGCTCCCCCACCGGAGGCTCAAATATGACGTCCTGGTGGCGTCTTGGAGCGCTCGTGGGGCGCT